CGCCGGCGCGCGCTCCGCAGCTCGGGCCGGTGAGTGGCGCGGGCTGGGCCGGGCGGCGGGATCGGGGGTCTGGGGCAATGGGAGGGGGTCGACCGGTCATCGGGGATCGCGCCACCGAAAGTCAAGGACCGGGGCAGGCGCGGCGCGGGGGCGGGGGCCGGCGTGACAGCTGCGGGCGCGGAGTCTTAGTTCAAACCCGGGGGTTCCGCGGCTGCAAACCCGGAGCCTCTCCGCTGATCCCGGAAGGGTCGCCCCGGGAGCGCGACCCGGCTCCCCATGCCTTCGTTGCGGCAGGCAGCAGACCTGTCAGCGCGCCGTGTCCCCGGCTTGGTAATGACCCGGCTGGGGTTTTCTCTTCTGGTTGCCACGAGCTGGCTGTGCTGTCCCGGAGCAGAGCGCGCGGGGAGGCGGGGAAAGTCCCGCCCGCCGCTCCCTGTCACTGTGCAGCCTCGGGCCGCGGGCTCAGCCTCTCAGCCGCATTCCCACCCGCTAGAGGGTCGCTCACAGGACCTCAGGAAGCCTCAGGTAGATGTTAACTTCCCTTGGAGTGGTCAGATCTTGACGATGTGGTCCCATGGTCAACCTAGGATCAGGGTCTACCTTCGCCTGCTACCATCTACCACTGTTAAAAGCTGGAAACCAGGGGGCCCCAGTCTGGGGCAGGCTAATAGTGAACATTATTATCTCATCCTCTGGCCCTGAAGCACCTACTCCGGCTAGCCCTGGGACCCTTCCCCCAGGCTCCTGGCGTCCTCTTTCATCTCTAGAATTAGGGAGAAGTCTCCTACTGCCCAGGCTGCTAGTGGGGCGCCCCCATCCTGCCTGAGGGACCTGGTGGGGGAAAGCGGCTGTCCTTCCAGAAAGGGGAGTGTATCACAAAGTCACTGCCCTTCTGAGTTGACTGGGTGGCCTTCTTCGTCCACCAAGAGGAGAGGAAATCCGCCCAGAGAGGGGGAGTGATTTGCTTAGGGCTGCACAGCCAGGAACCGAGGCCAAGAGGGTCCTTTTGAAGGGCTTGGCCATGCCTCCTACCTATCTGGTGCAGCCAGCATTGCACGGAGTCTGGACCGAGGAGGTGGGCGGGTGTGCAGTTGTGTTTGTGCGAGTGTTTATGCGTGGGTGTGCCCACGGGCCTTCTTGCTCAGTTTCCTGCTCACTCTGCCCCAGTGGGACTCCGGCGCATGTGGGGCTGCACATTCCTGAGGCAGGACAGCGCTGGGCCTCCGGCAGCCACAGCTGTGCCAAGCCCGCCGGCCCCGGGCGTGCGCTCAGGCGGAGAGGCCCCTGTCGGGGAGGCTGTGCGGGGAGTGGGCCCAGAAGCTTGCGTCCGGATCTCCTAGCTTGCCTGAGTAAGGTGACTGGATCATTTCAGTTTTATTAGTCAGTGGCATGGCTACACACGACTGGTACTTATATGAGCAGGACACTGCACTGAAGGCAACACGAAAGCCGCGCTTCGGATCTCCTTTCCCACCCGCCCTTGCGGGGGAGACTGCTCTAACTCGGCCTACTTTTCCCTGATATAACAATGCGGCACCCCTGGGTATGGTTATTCCCGTTTTCCGGCTGGGGGAACAGGTTCACAGAGGTGAGACGTTTTGCCCCAAGTCACACAGCAGGTGACACGGAGCCCAGTCTCACCAAGAGGGGGACCTGAAGAGACGGGACACTTTCGCTGTCCCTACGCTGCGCTCTGAGCGCATCTCTCACTCTTCAGAAGCTGAAGCTGCAGGCAGGCAGCCCGGCTCTGCCCATCCTGGGTGGCTGTGGGAAACTGCACTCGGGAAGGACAGGCAGACGGCGTCCTCCGCCTGCGCCTTGCCGGAACTTGCTGTCAGTGGGACATGGGCGGGGCGCCCAGGGGCTGGGGGCTCCACCCTGTCTTAGGCCCCAGTGCTTTCTTTCCTGCCCTCCTTCTCTCTGCTCACATTAAAGGCAGGGGATTTCCTGGCCTTCCCTCTGCCAAGGTGGCTGCGCACCTAGCTGGGGGCTAAGGGGTGTGCCAGGGACGAGTGCTACCTGGGCGGATGGGACCTGCGTCCCTGTCCCAGTCACAGCACTGGGATCCATTTCCTCTCTGCCTAACAGGGCCTGGGCCCCCTTCCTGGAGGGCAGAGTTCACCGAGGACCTGAAGAGAGAGGAGCTTACACAGGCAGGGTGGCTTTCAGGGACTGGGCCACCGGCCCTTCCTCCGGGTGCTGGAAACATTGGCTGTGCGTGTTCAGAAAGCACAGGCTGAGTAGCCTTCCTCCGAAATGCTTGGGACCAGAAGTGTTTCAGATTTTGGATTTTTTTAGACTTGGGGCTCTATGCATAACTTGATACTTTGAATGGGAACCATATATGGTTCATGTATATCTTATACTCACAGCCTACAGGTAATTTTATACAATATTTTATTGCACCTGCATTTTGACTGGGATGGGTCCCATGAGGTCAGATGTGGAATTATTTTCATTTGTGGCATCCGGTCAAACACAGCTCGAAATGTCTGGAATTTTGGAGCATTTCAGGCTTTCAGATTGTGGATGCTCAACCCCGTTTTTAGACGTGGCAGCCACAGTGGCGGATAAGAGATTCCTGGACCTTTCTTGTCTGAGCTATTTACGGGAAAATGGAGTCTCCAAAGCACAAATGACTGGCCCAAGTCTTGCTGGTGACTTGGGGTCCGAACAGGACCCCACCTTAGCAACACCTTTGCCAAAGTCACTGTCATTGGCATTGGCCGTGGACATCCTGGCTCTGGTACGGATGGGCAGGCTGGCTTTCAGGGCTGGCCCCATGGTCATCACTCAGCGGTGAGTGATTCGACTCTAATTAAACAATTTTATTTGAGATCTGAAAATGCCTGAGCCCCTCCCAAGTGACCTTTGCTGGAATAATACAGCTGACTCATTGGGGTAGCCTCTTTCTTTCGTGATGGGAGGGGCTGGCTTTGATCTTCTCCTGGGCCAGTCCCACTTTCCTGCTCTTTAAAATGGGAGGTTGAAATTAGATATGGGGGATTCCTTGAAAGGCAGATGTTTTCCCTCTGGCATGGTAGGTATTTAGAGACCTGAGTCTGGTCCCTTTCCTGTGCCCTTCCACCCCTGGAGGGACTGAATTACTTGGACAGGTGACTTCCTGTTTATCTTCCTTGCTCTGAGGATTAATTCTTTTTTTTTTTTTTTGAGACAGGGCAGTTCAGACTGGCTTTGAGCTCACTTCTAGCCCAGGCTGGCCTTTAACTCTCCATGATCCTCCTGCCTCAGCCTCCCAAGTGCTGGGATTACAGGTGTGCGCCACCACGCCCAGTGAGGATGAAGTTTTGAAGCGTCCCCAGCCTTGCGTAGCTTCCTGCAGCCTGGGCTACTCCTGGGTCTCACGGAGCCCCAGACTCATCCTGACCTTTCTCACCTTGACCTGTGTGCAGTGCTTACCTCTGTATTTCCCCAGCCCTCCACCCCCATCCCATGCTGTCTCAACAGCCCCTCTTCCTAGAAGCCAGAGAAAAGAGTAGTGGTGGTTTCTGATTTCCTGTTTCCAGTGCACTTTACCATTGACATTTAACCAACAGTTTTTTAAATCTGATTCCCTGCTAGCCTTTGATCTACTGTGCATTCTCTCATATCCTTGCTCCCAGCCCAGAAAGAGGTGGTGATGACCATGGTGCTCGTGGTGATGATGGTGATGATGATTTTATTATTATATGACATTATATTTTAAAGTACAGCCTGGCAGACTTTAGGGAGTTGATACGCACAACAGCATGGAATGAAATACACAGGCCAGAAGACCCTAACATTTCCAGGACGCAGGGACTAAGAGATCCTAGGCAAGGTGTGGTGCCTGCCGCCTACCCTCCTCCTCCTGGTCCTAGTCAGGAGCTACTTCTCTTGGAGAGCTCTCTGATTTTCTGGGCTCTCTGGGGGTTGGCCCTGGAATCTTGAAAATGTCTTGATGTCCCCGGGACTCACATCTGAATTTCATTCTGTCACCTGAAGCCCCTGGCCTTCCCTCTTCCTGGGAAGTCCCTCCTCGGGCCTTTCTGTGGCTGCTCCCTTGCTCCAAGATCTCAGCTCCCTTTCCCCAGCCGAGGAAGGATCTTCCTACCTATACAGCAGCATCTGTTGCACCCCTGCCACCTCCACACCCTGCCTTAGGCCCCTGCTTTACCCTCTCCCTGGCACTTAGTACTCAGAAAGTACATGAGCTATTTATTCACGTATTTGTAGTGGGAGGACTGTCTCCCCTGCTGGGATGTAGATGCTATGAGGGCTGAGGGTTTTGTCTGTCCCCAGAGCCCAGCCAGCCCAGCAGCTGAGACGCAGGCACCCTTCAGTATTCAGGGGAGGTGGGTTGCAGGCCCCTGAGGATAAAGGATGTTCAGATCTCATCAGTGAAGTGTGTTTTTATATGATCTACACACATCCTTCCAGACGGTATCATCTCAGTTATTATTCATACCATCTAACAGTGGAAGTGCTGAGTAAATAGTTAATTGTACTATATCTTTTAGGGAATCATTTTTTAAAAAATAAATCTGACCATGGTCAGTACAGATGCAGTGTTCTCCCCCCAAATAGTTTCTGTCTGTGTCTGGTTGAATCTCCAGCGGCAAAACCCATGGTAGACACGGAGGGCCGACTTTATTTATTTATTTTTGGTACTGGGAATCAAACTCAGGACCTCACACTTGCCA